TACACACACAAGAATAGTATAAACCCAATAAATGAAGATATATGTATTTATGTGTATGCAGACACATGTACTTTCTAGCTCTGTCCATCAAGAAGCCTTGGGAATAATGAGATCCTAGTGATTTTCTTCTTTACTAAAAGGAACCATTTTTTCTTGGAGAAAAAACTTATATGTGAGCCAGAGTAGGAAAAAGTAAAGACAATCTTGGAACTTCTTCTACTGGAAGCTTAAACAGTGATGGGAACATGTTGAAAGGACACAGATCCCAACTTCAAGGGGCTTTTCCTAGCCAAATTGGGGAAGACATTAGCCTAAAAACAAATAACAATAGTAGTAGAACATAATTCATGAGTAGAAGTGTGAGCCTATACTTAATGTATAAATTAAAAGTTTAATGAGAAATGGCATATATGGTGGCATCTTGATTTCTGGACACTTTTGTTTATGTACAGTTTGGTTCACAAACAGGAGCATTTGGCAAAATTTTGTTTTTGTTTACAAAGTCTGCATTGGCTGATATAAGAAACTTGCAAGTTCAAACCTAGTGACCTGTATTTGAGTACATCTGGACTGGATTTCTGCTTACCCAAAACAGCGTAGAAATGTGGCACAGATGGTGGGAAAATCTAATAGGTAATGCACCTGTCCGGTGCTTTGAATCATAGAAGAATTTCAAAATGACCGCTGCTATATAGAAAGTGAATGTGAAAGTATTCTCTGACCTATGCCACCATGTCCACCTTCAAACTGCTTTGTCTAAAAACCGAAACAAGCATACCAGTAACAGACAAAGCACCAGAGCACCTTTTCAGTAGTATCACAGACGTTGGTGGAGTGCACCTACGGTAGTTGTTTTTGTTTGTTTGTTTGTTTGTTTGGTACCAGGGGTCGAATACCTTTGGTAGTTGTAAGCAGTGGAAGCTCTGGAACTTGCTCAGGCAGAGAGGAAAAAGAAATACAACCTTCTCCCTTCTCCCATAGTAAATGGACAGTCTTATGGTTTTAAATTCATCTCTCAGTATAAATTTTTCTGTTCATTACATGAGTATATTCTTATTTCAGAAGATAAAACATATGTACATAGAGTAAAATATTTCTCATTTGCATTTCTCTTTTCATTCCTAAATTTGTCCCCACAATATGTATAATTTATTTTTGGTAACAATGTCACTATGTTGACTTGTCATGGGTTTATTATTATATTAAATTGAGTTAATATTTTAAAACTTTCTTAGTTGTATTTATGAGAAATGTTATTAGATACAATTCATGTAAACAGAAAGCTTTTGGGATTTTCAGTAATCTGTGAGTGTAAAGTGTTTTTAAGACCAAATAATTTGAGGAATCCTAACTATATTATTAAGTCATTGTTTTTCTGTTTTTTGTTTTTTTTTTGGTGTTTTGAGATAGGGTCTCACTGTATAGTTGAGATTGACCTGGAACTCACTATGTAGTCTAGGCTGGTTTCGAACTCACAGCGATTCTCCTGCCTCAGCCTGGGATTATAGGTGTGTACCACCACGCCTGGTTTATACTAAGTCATTGTTAATGAACACTGGTAGGACATGTAGAAAAATTCCAGTGATTTGAAAGTCTTAGTAAAGTGCAGTGTGCATTTCCATATTACCACAAATGGTTTAAGTGAAAGTATAGAAAGTAGTACTAGAGAAAATACTGTAATGCAAATACATATCATGTAAAGATTATGTTGTTTTGAGTCATTTCATCCTTGGTTTTTTTAAATGCTTTTGTATTGTGATTAAATTTGTATATGATGAAAAATGTATTAGAATATGATTGAGAATATCATGTATTTCAGAAACTCTGTAGTGATGCTCAAGTTAAAGTCTTTGGGAAATGCTGCCAGCTGAAGCCTGGAGGAGATAGTTCTTCCTCTCTGGATAGTTCTATCACTTTATCTTCTGATGTAAAAGACCAGTGTCCTAAGTACCAGGTAAGATCACTGATTTCATTTATTTACTCTTTCACTTACAAATATTTTTGAGAACCAACCCTAGGAAACAGGGTACAACAGTGACTAGTCCTGATTTCTACATTACTTACATTAGTGGCTATAGAGACAGATGTTTAAAGAAGTAAATGTATGAATTTTAAAAAATTTTTGGAAAAATACAGACAGCTATAGATAATGACAGGGATATTTCGTCATTTTTCTCAATTCATATTTATTGGGCTACTGGATGATTTCTTTCATATACCTTTTCATAGTTGAAATATGGAGATAAATACTAGTAACCAATTCATCTGTAGTGTGGAATTAAAGTATAAATGGAAGTGAGCACAATAAAAATGTACATTTTCATTTTCCAGAAGTATCATGACTCTTAAAATACAAAGCTACTTAGGAACTTCTTTACAGTAAAACTTACTACATTTTACATAAGTTCAGTGTTTAGTTTCATGCTGAACAGGTACAGCAAATTTGTGTCATCCATGCTTGTGTGAATCCTAAGTATTTTATGTTTAGTAGTACCAAAATCGAATTTTGGACTTCTTAATTCTTTGTAATCAGATGATTGTGTCTTATGCCAATTTATCCTTAACAGTTTATTAATAAGGAGTATGCGTGAAAGGACAGTGAAATTATTGAAGTCTAGATGTTAGGATGTACCACAGAGTTTTTTCAGCATTCTTATTTTTCTTTCATTTCAGGTTAATATAGCAAATTTCTAACAGTGGTACTATGTAATATTTTCATAATTTATGCAATTTTACACAATTTTGGAAAGTTTTCTAATGTGCTCAATTATGCAAACTTGCCTTTCCATATATTTTGTCGTTAAAAATAAATACTGGTAAACAAAACAAGAGTGGGGATACTAACGTACTGAGTGATTATAATCTCCTTTTGTATCAAAATTTCAAGATGTGTGCTTTTTTCTGTAAAGCCAGGAAGCATTCAATTATTGTAGTATAGTTTATTGTACTTAAAAAAAATGTGCTCTCAGGTAACTAGTATGTTATCTTTGAATTCTTGGTTATAATGGATTAGCTTCTAGCAATGAGTAATTGAAAAGAGTAAGTCTTTTGAATGAGATTTTAAAGAAGATAGCAATGATAATAGCACTTTCTTAACTATATAACTTTTAGTGTAGATTGTGTCACATTAGTGTATGATATGCCAATGCTAAGGCATATGATAGAGCAAGCAGAAAGCTTTAATAACAAAATATATGGGTCAAATCAAATTTAAATAGCAGTTCATTTTTACTATATTTTACTAAGAATTATTTTCTTATACAGTAGTGAAATTTTAAAATGCCATGTTATTTAAGCTCATATAACTGACTAAATACTAAAAAAAGCAGTTTTAGTCAAAATAGCAGTGGAACGAGACCCTTCGTAGCAAAAATAAGCTTATAAGGAAGACTCTCACGTCTGTCATTAGCCAGAAGTAGTTTAGATTGAAACAAGATTGGCCTTGATCTTCAAAAGAAAACTAGTTGATCATTAAAAAATTATTCCTTCTCTATTTCTAAAGTGTTCTCAAGCCAAGTAATGTAGTAAACGCTTGTAATACTCAGGAAACTGAGGAAGGAGCATTTTAAGTTTAAGGTCAGCCTCAACAATTTAACGAACCTTGTCTCAAAATAAAACAGAAATTGGATGGGGATGTATCTCAATTACTAAGGCATTTGCTTAGTATGCATGAGGCCTTTGCTTCATTGACCAGTACTGCCAAACAAAGAAAAGAAAGGTTTTTCTCAGCACCTAAACCTATATTCCTTGAAGTAGAAATTTAATCTGAACCAAATATTTAGATGAGATGCTTCCCAGTAGAAATCTGAATGGTAGCAAATGATATTTTCCTTAAAATTTGACTTTATGCCTTTATTGAAACAAATTTATGAGTACATTCTGAGAAAGTAATATATAAATGAGTGTGTGTGTGTGTGTGTATGTATATAAAAATAAAATAGGAAATAATTATGTGAAAAAAAATTGTTTTTTTGGTACTGGGGATTGAACTTGGGTCCTTTGCTTGCAAGGCAGGCCACCGAACCGCTGAGCTAAATCCCCTGCCCGAAAAAAATATTTTTTAAAAAAGGTGAAACCTGTCTGTTATCCTTGGCACTTAGGAAGCTGAGGGTAGCTGTGAGTTCAAGGCCAGCCTGGAATACGTAGTGACATCCTATCTTAAAAAAACTAAAGAAAGAAAGGTGAAAAAAATGTAGATTATTATTATTTTTTTAAGAAGCAAAGAAGATTCATGATGGTAAACAACAGACCATCAAGTAAAATATATTTGGGTTGGTTATGAATTACATGGAGACAATGTAATAAAGTTACTTAAATAATATACAAAACAATATACCGCTGTATTTACTCCAGTTTTAAATGGGAATCATTAACACTATATTATCATTAGAATTTTTAAATATTTTAGAGACCGTGATCCTCCCCTTTCCACTTTCTTCCCTCTCTCCCTTTTTCCTACTGTCCCTGTCCTTCCCCACCTCTCTCCCTTTCTGTTTTGGTGGTATTGGGGTTTGAACCCAGGGCCATTGCTCTGAGCTCTACCCCCAGTTCCGTCCTACCCCGTGAGACAGGATCTCACTAAATCAGTACATGGCCCACTACCATGGCTTAAACTTGTGCTCCTCCTGTCTCAACCTCCCATAATGCTGGGATTACACCACCATGTCTGGATAGAAGACTCTTAATTCTTGTTTTGGGTAGGGGGTACCAGGGATCAAACTCAGGACCTTGTTCTTGCAAGGCAGGTGGCACCATTACTGAGATTCTTATTTAATGATTTCCACAATATAACAATTTAGTGAAATTTGTGATTAATCATTTTTTATCTTAAATAATTTAGGTCCTCTTCCCCATTGTTTTCTCTGTTTATATTTGGGTTGGTTAAGAATTACATGGAGACACTCTAATTAAATTACTTAATAAATTATGGATTATTTTTTTCCTTGCATGACAGAATATCTGGATATATACTGTGTAGGTATGATTCATGGGTTTGAAGATGCCCTTACAGACCAAAGTTCTCATATCTTTCTAAGATAATGTATTCTTATCTCCTTATGATCATAATATGGTATCAATATCTCTAGTGACTTTTATTTTTATCTCATTCACCAGTTCTGTTAAAACGCATAAATGAGGGCCGGGGATTTAGCTCAGTGGTTCCGCCACCTGCCTCACAAGCACAAGGACTGGAGTTTGATTCCCAATACCAAAAGAAAAACAAAAACAAAAACACACATAAATGAGTAGTGTTCAAAACTTCTGTTAGTCCAGCTTTGCAGAAATCTTTTTTTTTTTTTTTTTTTTTTTTTCT